GACTGACTGTGTGATCGGAGTATGCACGTGTGCGCGTGCGGGTGTGCGGGGCTGACTGTCAGGTGTGCGCACGAGTGTGCCTGTGAGTCGGTGAACCTGAGGGGGAGTGTGCTGGCTGCGTGCTGTGAGCGCGAGGCCCCGGGGTGACTGAGGGCGTGTATCTTGGGGGGTCAGCGGTAGAGCCCAGCTCCCCGGGCGGGGCCGCCCTGCAGGTTGGTCAGAGCCCAGCTCCGGCCGCCGGGGGAGGCCTCACCAGCAGGCGCAGGTGGACGGTCCGGCTGGCATCCCATCTGCATGTGCTGTGCCCACACTGTCCGTCCATGCTGCCGGGGGAGGACCCCTCTCCTTCCTCGAGGGGCAGGTGGTCTGTCCTCTCCACAGACTGCCACTGGCTTCGCCGTGTGCCGCCTTGAAACCAGGGGGAGGGAGGCGAAATTCACTTCTAGCAACTTCTTGGCGAGGCTGCGGCAGCAAATCTCATGGGAAACGTGGAGGGGGGCGCCTTCCCTGAACCCGCCGTCCTCTGGCCTGGGCTCTGTGGCTGAGAGACCCTAACCAGCTAACCGACTGACGGACCGACCGACCAACTCCCTGGGGTGCGGCCCTGAAGGCAGCCGGGCCTTGGGCCTCACTCCTTCCACTCTGAAAGGCTGGCATTCGGGTGCTGTCCCCGGCCGTCAGGAGAGGGACACGGGTCACCAGGGAGAGGTGGGTAGTGCCCCTGCTGGAAGGACCACACAGCTGCCTGGTTTTCTAAATCTTGTCCACTTTATTGGAAACGTTTCACATGCCACAAGTTTACAGGAAAATATCCACTCAAAATGTAGTTTGCACACACAACTAGGAGCAGGCACCACCAGACGAACATGGTCTGTTATTGAAAGGCAGGTGACACGCATTGGGTCATTTAGCACCTGGTCACACACAAACCGTGAGACCCTCAGCAGCTAACCCCACGACCCCCTTAGAAACACGCTGGGCTCAACTGTTTCTGGTCAGAGTCACACTTGGACAGGCAGCGGCTGGAGGGATGGCTGGTGCTGGAAAGGCCACCGAGAAACTGGTGGTGTCACGTGTAGCGTGCACAGCCATGTGTGCACACACCTGCTGGGTGAACACAGCAGGGGGCCTCGGCTCACCTGGGGACCATGGAAGTCGCCGCCGCGTCAGGGTCAGCACAGCAGCACCTCCCTCGGACCTGCTCTGCCAGGCCCTGGCCTCAGCTCTGTGACCAAGCTTGGCCACCAAGCAGCCCGTGGTCACCACATCCCCAGGTCCACTGGGCCGGGGGCAGAGCATGGCAGGTGCCCTGACCCTGTGATAGTAAGACAAACCGCACCTTTGAGTGGCTTGGGAAAGAGCTTTAGAAAGTGGAGTCGTTAGACAACATTTAGGTAACACCGGTCGCCTGTATCAGATCCCCAGATGTTTTTTAAGTGTCGTATTTGTTCACCGTGCCCAGCAGACCTGGACACTTCCAATTACAATCCTGTGTCCCCGTGCAAATGGGACTGGTGACCCTCAGAGGGCCCCGAGCCCCTCCCTGACAATCCTGTCCCTTTCCTGTCCAGGGAAGGCGGGGACTCGAGTGAGGCCTGAGAACTCCCGCGCCCGCGCCCCATTCAGGGCTCCTTCACCTCACATGGGGCTCTAGGGCTGAAGGGGCTGGAACCTGCTGCCGACCGCCCTGCTTCCTCCGCATCTGCCAGCTTACTTTTTCTTATAAGGTCTCAGCAATTCTCAAATCCTGGTAAAGGGGCCAATGAGGCAAAAGGCAGCAGGGGCTGCTGCTGCCCCAGTGCCACCGAGTACCCCAGGGGGGTCGTCCATCAGGCAGGGGCCTCCTTGGCATGGACTCAAGGGCATGGGCACTGCCAGGGCCGAGTGTGCTGGTTTCAGACCCTCCAAAGGCCCCACGCCTCCACCCAGCCTTTCCAGCCCAGACCTCCACGCTTCTGTCCCCTCGGCCGATTAAGGGAGTGTGGCCCTCAGTGTCCAGGCTGCAGAGCTGCCCCCTCCCCCAGCCAGGGTGCCCACAGACCCGCCTTCCCACCACAAGCACACACGGCCCTCCCTCGGAGTCCTGGCACAGAAAGGACCCTGGAACTTCAGAAGGGCAGCTGAGAGGCAGGGAGAGAATCCCCGCTGTATGGAGTGGAGTGTCCCCAGTCAGCTCCTGGGGCTGGAACAGGCTCCTCGGTCTCTGCGTCCCGCAGGCTCAGGCTGCCTCCCTGGGAGCACCTGCAGCTGGTGTGGTGGGCAAGAGGGCAGCTGGGGGGTGGGGGGTTTCTCTTTTAACAAAAGGATAAATGCCAGATCCTGCCTTCCTCTTCCCTCTCCCCCAGTCGCCCTCTCTCTCACACACACACGATGCACACATGTGCATACATGCAGATACCTGATCACACACAGACAGCTGGGCACACACATATGCACACGCACACGCCATGCACACGTAAACTGCAGACTACACATAGAGGTGTATGCACAGACATACAAGCACACCGCGCACAAACACGTGCACATGGGCCAGTGTTGACCAGGCCCCTCTCAGCAGGCAGCATATGGTCTGCTGCTTAACAGCCCGGTCCTGCCAACTGGGGACCATTAGGGTGGGTTCTTTTCCCAGCGTAAAATGCTGCAGAATATAAATTGCAATTAACACTGGTGCCAAAATAGCACTTAGCGAGAATAAGCCCATTATTAACATCTGCTGAATCCTGTCTCAGTGCAGGAGCGGCACAGTCTTGCTCCAAGTGAAAGGATGGTTGCAGGGAACACTGAGAGCACAGGTTTCCCACTTCCCAAGGCAGCTCGTGCCCCAGCCTCCCGGGAGCAGCCCCTCCCAGCATTTGTCGGCATAAATGACGCTACTGGGTAAAAGTGCTTGCTCATGAGAACAGCCCATGCAGGCGAGAGAGCGTGAAAACACAACCGCAGCCTCTGGATCCATTCCCGGTGGGAAGGTCACTCTCCCACCTGAGCCCAGGGCCTCTGGATGAAAGAAGGGCACCCAGAGACACCTGGGGCTGGAGGAGGAGGGAAGGCCTAGCCCATGGGGGTCCCAGAGACAGCCAGGCCACCTGCCTTCCTCCTAGGCTGTGTCCCATCCTTCTGATCATCCTCGCTTGGTGGTCTCTAGGGCCACCTAAAAAAAACACCCAGCCCCCACCACCTCTCAGACCTTCATCTATGGCAATGTGGTCCTAACAGGGACGTTGGCCCTCCTCTCTGGGGCCCAGGAGAGCCTGCCCTGTATCCTTTGAGGCCAGGAAGAGACAAGACCCAGTTGTAGCTCTCAGGCTGAGTCAGGACTCCAAGGTGGAGGCTGCCGGTCTGGTGGGGCCTGCTGTAGGGCACTCACCTGGAGACAACGAGCCCTCAGCTGCAGCCTAGGATGGGGAGCACCCTGTGCTCCAGAGATGGCTGCCCCCACGGCAGGAAAACCAGAGTGGAGGAGGTGAGCGCTCATCCCAGCTCCATGTGTGCAAACACGCCATCCACTTGGTCAGGGCAGGCAGGCAGAGCAGACTGGAGCTGCTGGGGGCCAGGCTGCCAGACACAATGCGCTGAGGGAGAATCAGCACAGGAGCCTGTGGGCCCCCAGGCCAGGACTACCCGCCTCCTGCAGCAGCCATCAGAAGGCCTCCTGGACCCCCTCACCCAGCAGGGTGGGGGCTGCTGAACTGTTTGCCCTTCAAGATCCCAGGGACAGTCATGGGAAGATGCCAAAGGGCAAGGTCCCTATTACTTTAACAGCAGGTAAACCAGAGGATGCACTACATGGAGTGGGGGTGACTGTCACCATAGAAACGGAGTAGGAAGACAGCCGAGCTGAGAGCCAGGATGGGCAGCTGGAGTGGGGACAGGGCTTTGTGGGCTCTGCACCCCCAGCCAAGAGGGAGATGGAGGTGGGGTGAGTCAAGCCCAACCTGGGGAGCCACCCAACGATGCCCAGTGCAGGAGGCTCTCGAGGTTGAAAAGGCAGAGGCGGCGGCTGGACACGGGGAGGTCCTGCCCACTGGGAGGTCGGTCCTCATTTTTGGAATAGCTGCGTTGGAAATTTTTAAAGTGCTAAGTAAAGTTATCTGAAACGGGGTAATCTGACCACTACTCTAGCCTTCAGCATCCTCTCAAGTTTTTCTAATGAAGCCACACACATCTGTTTCCCGAGAAACACAGGCCTCCCCAGGGAACTGCAGTCTCCAGCGTTGAATGTGGGCCACCAGGGAGGCCTCCTCCTGGGCCCTGGCTGACAATCCCTGCCCCAAGGGGCCCTGCCCAGCATCCCAGCCCCAGGGGGCCCTGCCCGGCACTGGCCCTGATCTGGTTGGAAACACACTGGTTGAAACGTGTCTTACTGGGCAAGAGAGCCCCACACCTACAGCCCCAAACCTGCAAGCTCCTCGCTGTCCAGCTCACAGCTGACCTGGGGGCAGGGCTCATCTCACAGGGTGGGCGTGATCACCCCATCCCTGGGCCTCAGGCCACCCCTCCAAGTAACCCAGTGGCAGGTGACCAGGAACACAGGAGCAGAGGGATACTCCTAGGGGTTGAAGTGAGGGGGCAGCACTGGGACCACTTGGTGCTCTGGAGACTGGTCAGAGCCCCAAGGAGTCAGGGAGCCATAGTCCGTGTCTCAGTTGGAAAATGCCCACGGCCAGGCCTGACAGTCACTGACCGCTGGCTCTTCCCACCTGTCCTCACACCATCACAGCTCAAATTCATGGAGCAATAAGTCCTCACAGGAGAAAGCAAGAGGAAGCATTGGGAGCCCCTGAGGGCCGGATGGGCACAGGAGGGCCAGGGAGAGGTGTCCCTTCCTCTTGTGACTCACCCAGGGATCCCACTGTCTGGCAGGCAACCCGGGGTGTACAGACAGGCAGTAAGCATCGGTGGCGGCCCAGGCACCACATGCCCATCGAGCAGTCCTGCTTCCTCAGCCATGAAAACCACGTGCAGCAGTGGGGGACTCGGCCACGGGAGCAACTTCGCCTGTGCTAGCATCCCCATCACCACCACAGGTTTGGCGGCTCCTCGGCCACTCTGCTTTTAAATAAGGTGATCTCGTCCAGGTGCACCATGGGGACGTCCCGGATGACATCAGTCAGGCCCTCGTGGAGCAGGGGGAAGATGACAACGTTCAGCGCGGGCCGCTCAGCCTGGAAACTGAACCAGAGGCAAGCTAAGGTTAGCAGGGCCACGGGGCCACATACAGGGGAACCGCCTGTCCCGGCTGCAGCTCAAATGTGTCTACCCGACTTGACTCCCCGGCTGCTGCAAAGATGTGCCTGGGGAGCCCTTCCCGCTGGGGCTGGAAGAGAGGCCTGGAGGGGCGGGGCTGACAGAGGGAGCCTTGCCTATGGGGGATGTTGTCACACTTCCGTCTGGGCACTGAGGAGGCACCCACTGGGCGTCAGGCAGAGGAATGGAGGCCAATTAAGGCCAGCCTGTAGGAACAGCCTCGCATTCCTGGGCAGAGGGTGGCAGGTATCCTGGAGCAGGGGTGGGGGTGTTGCACAAGGAGCTGCAGAACCAACAGCAGCACCCACAGGGGGGTAGAGAAAAGGGTCCAACGCCCACAGGCCACCCTGGAGGGGTACAAACTCCTTGGTCAGGTGAGGCAGCAAAATCTGCCAGGAAAGGAAACCAAGGCAGCTGCTGGGAGCCAGAGCCATGGCCTGAACATGTGACAAGCAGCTGTCACATCACCTCCCTGTGCTGTACCCACAGGATCCCCTCCCTGCAGTGGACAAAAAGCACAAGCGTACAATCTCCATGGAGCCGTGGCCAGGCCAGGCACTGTGCTCAGGGCCAGCGGACGTTGTGTGTCGCCCTCCCTGAGACCGCATGCAGCTGGCCAGCGCAGTGACCATCCCCTTCCCACCTGAGGAAGTAGGGTTTGGGAAGACAACACCTGGGCCACAGTCCTCATCTGGTCAACAGCAGAGTGGCCCTGCCCCTGTCAGATTGGGACTGGCCCACACGCCTGGAGACAAAATCAAGTGCCACCTGGAGTTCAAGGAGAGGGAGGGATGGAGAAAACCCCCAGAACAAGACATAAGACACCCAGAATCTCAGAGCCACACAATAGGGAACCTGGGCATTTGCCAAAACTAGAGCAAGTCGCCCACCCAGTGCCTGTTTAAAGGAAGGAGGAAACCTGGTCCTGGCCTCTCCTCGAGGCCCCCAGCACTGGAATAACGACTCATGTAAAGTGGATGCAGGAAAGCACTCGTAAAACCTGATGTTTTAAAGACGCTGAGGAAATAAAGACGCAGAGGAAATGCCTCCCAGTTCTGTGCACTGGTTCTGTGCACAGTGTCTGCTCGGGGGCACCGCTGGTGACCGTGAACCTGCGACAAGTCCTTGCCTGCACACCCCCGCACCAATGACTGGACTTGAAACAAAGTACTCTCAGAAGGTGCGTGCAGACGCTCCGCCAGCCTCCCGCCCTCCCTCCCGGGGCTGTAATGAGCTGTCAGTTTGCTGAAGGGGACGGATTTCTCGGCAAAAGCCAGGAATGCAGCCGCTGCGGCTCCTCCCCCACGCAGCCCGGGGCGCTCCAGGTGGCCGAAGAGACTGAACAGGAGGGCAGTGGGTGCAGGCGCCACCACCAGGATTAAACCACTTCCCTCTGAAGGCCTTCCCTTCAGTTTGCACCTGGCTTAACCTGGACTGGGGCAGACCTCCAGTGCGCACACTCAGTCCTCTTTCTGTAAAGCCCATCTCTGGTCCTCAAGGAGCTGCCTGCTACACTCTCCGCTAGACCCTCCCTGTCCCCACGCGGAGGGGGGCCTTGCACGGAGTGAGGCCTGGAGCTGGTGACAAGAAAGTGAGAGATGGCAAGTGCAGAGAAAGAAACTGCTCACTTCCAAGTGCAGGGCTGGGGCGCCTTCTGGGATGGAGGCGTGCTCCTGGCAGAGCAGGCATGTGGGGGGTCATGTGCTCCGTGTACTCGGCTGTATGACTCGAGTACATGTTATAATATGCTTGTGTGTGACTCAAGTGTAGTTTGAGGTTTAAGTAAAGAGATTTGATGAGATAAAGCAAAACTCGTTTAGAAGCCAGGCTGACTGGTGAGTGAGGGCAGGACAGGTCCCCCCTCAGGACCTCTCCCCTGACCGGGGCTGATCACATCTCTAACAGCCTCTGGTCTGGAGTCACCGGGACAAAGGCCAGGCCTGTGAGCAGACGGGTTCGCCCCGCAGAGGCCTCCTGTTGCATTCCCCAGGCCCAGCTCCACCCTCAGCTGGTTTGAGAGGTGCACTAGGCAGGAGCCATGGCCACTCTGGAACTATGCTCCTAGGGTCGTCACTTAGGGACCAAAGAGGCCAGGTCTACAGAAACCAGGCACTAAGCCTACATGCAGGGCCTGCCATCTGATTCTGACACCCAGCACCCACGAGCTCAGCCGCCTGGCTCCCATGTGAGGCAGCAAGAAGGAATAGCTGAGGAGCAAGTGGAGACCCTGAGGAGCAGGTCACCCAGGGCTCACCGTGGATCTGGGCAGAGAGGCCTGCCCCTTGAGGAAGATCTGAGGGCATCCACTAGGGCTCTCAGAGAGACACCCTGAGAAGAGTGACAGGAACTCTGAAATTTACAACGGTTGCAAGGGATCCCGGCAGGGCAGAGGCCTGAAACACACACCAAGGACCCTTAAAGATCCAATACCCAGCCGTTAGCAGCCTGCTCTCCAGGAAGCAGAAGAGACTTTTTACCTAAAAAACACCTGCTGGCTTTGTTTCTTTGCCTGAGAAACTAGAAACAAAATTAAAGTTGACAGCCTCCTCCCCCCAAGTAAAGGCCTTATAGAGAAGCCAAAGTAATAAGATATTTTATAAAAGTCACTCGAGCTGTAACAACTACAGTCAAGAAGCACCGAGGGAGATGGTGGCTGAGAACCCCACAGCCAGCCTGCAGCTTACCGAGCCATCCACCAGGGCTCACAGAACGCCATGGGGTGCTGCCTCGGGAGGTGGTGGCCCCAAGCTCCCGCCAAGCCTGCGGACACACAGAGCCCACCTGGAGTCTGCCCTGACTGGGCTCTGCCCAAAATCTGCCTCGCCCAGGAAGGGCAGCAGGGCTTCCTCTGTCCTCGTACAGAGGATGGGGTGGGGAGGACCCCGGGATTGAAACCCTCCAAGCCAGCTGTCATCACCCCGCTGCAGCGTCCACAGGTCCCACCGGCCAGGACCACTAGGTGGTAACATGAGCCACAGGCTCCTGGACTGGAAAAGCCTGATCAGCAACTGTGCTTCCCTCACGACTAGACTGCAGGGGAGTAGGTCTGGGGTGTCCCTGGGGCTTCCTGCCTTCGCCTCCCAACAGACACCCCAGTGCCTCTCTGGGGCGACAATATACATTTCATGAGTCCTCCCAGAAACCCTTCACACATATGAAGGCAAACAAATCTGTTACTCCCCACCTGTGTTTCTGAACACACCTTGCTTTCTACAATGAAAGGCCCTTTCTTCAAGGACATAAGAGCGTCTCATCATTTCATCAGCTGCGTGCCATCCGCCGCGTGTGTATTCCCATTTCTTTCCTAGTCTCCCCCTGACCAGCACTGGGTTATTTTCAGTCTTTTTGTTTTGTTTTGTTAACCCTCACCCAAGAATATTTTTTCCATTGCTTTTCAGAGAGAGTGGAAGGGAGGGCCTTGGTAGGTGAGAGAGAGAGAGAGAGAGAGAGAGAGAAAAGGGAGAAAGAGAAACAATGGTTGGTTGCTTCCCACATGTGCCCTGATCAGGGCCGGGGATTGAACCTGCAACCCAGGTACGTGCCCTTGGCTGGAACTGAACCAGAGATTCCTTGGTGCACAGGCCAACACCCTAACCACTGAGCAATGCTGGCAAAGGCTATTTTCAGTCTTCTGCTAAAGCCAACAGAGCTGCAGTCTTCACTGCACAAACCCCGTGGGTGAACCCTGTGGGAGAACCGGGTCCTGGAGGTGGGAAACATGTTGGTCAAGGGTGTGAATTCAGATCTGCTGCAGGCTCAGCCTCCACAGAGGTGGCTCAGTGGCCAAGAGCCACAGAACCTGTCCCTTTCTCCACTAACACATGTGGTCTTCGCCAGGAGGGGGCTGCTGCTACTTCACATTGAAGGGCAACATGTGCCATGAACGTCACAGACAGAGCACATGTGTGTGACCAGCACCCACACTGAGATAGACACCAGCCCTGCCTAGAAGCCCCTGGTGCCATCCACCACTGCCCCCCAAGGGAGGGCGGTCCCAGCGCCACTTCTACCCGGGTGGACCAGCGGGACCAGCGCCTGCTTCTGCACTTCTAGGAACAGAACTGTTCTCAGGGCCGGTTGTCCTGTTTTTGTTACAGATGAGACTGTGTTTTCTCCTGGGTCTAAGGGTCACCTGTAGCCCTACCCAGTGCCCTTGGGCTTTGTACCTGGTTTTTGTTTTTTAATCCTCACCTGAGGATATTTTTTCCATTACTTTTCAGAGAGGGAGGGAGGGAGAGAAACATGATGTGAGAAAGACGCAATGAATGGTTGCCTGGCTGCCTCTCGCATGAACTCCGACAGGGGGCGGGGAGTGAACTTTCATAACCCAGGTCCATGCCCTTGACCGGAATTGAATCTGAGACCCTTCAGTGTGTGGCCAATGGTCCAACTACTGAGCCACAGCAGCCAAGGCCTCTGTGCTGTTTGACGTCTAGTCCTCACTGAGGTGCAGCCCGCCCAGTGCCCCGGGCTTTGCTCCTGTTTGTCCTCACTGAGGTGTAGGCTGATGATAGAATCAGACCTTTGCCTGTGATGTGACGCCCAGATTTTTCTGTTTATCATTTTTTGTAAATGACTTTTAAAGACATGCAGATATTTGTCCTGGCGGGTGTGGCTCGGCTGATTGGAGCGTATCCTGTGCACTGAAAGGTCTCAGGTTTGATTCCCAGTCAGAGCACATCCCAGGTTTCGCCCTGATTGGGGCATGGGCAGGAGGCAGCCAACTGATGTTTCATTCTCACACTGATGTTTCTCTCTCTTTCTCCGTTCCTCTCTTTCTAAAATCAATAAAAGCATGTCCTCATGTGAGGATTAAAACCATAACAGTAAGAACAATAAAGTAAGTAAAAACACGCAAATATTCAACTTAGAGAAATACAAATTAAAAACAATAGTGTCTATCAACAAGAACAGACAAACAAAAT